GTATATACATATATATATATATATATATATATATATATATACATATATCATATATAAATATATATCATATATATATTATGGAAAATGCTAATAACACCATATGGCAATTGCATATAACTAGCTCTATCACAGTTTTTGTACAGGTCGGTTATTATATTAATATGTATGCAAAAAAGCTAAAATAATGGAAAACAACCCATAGATACTAGAAATTGCATATTACAAGTGAAGTGCTGCGAAGTACAACAGCATATATGGTTTAATTATGGTTTTTTTTTTAAGTTTCAAAAATTTCTATGTATGTGGAAAATGTAGTTGATTACCAAAGGTTACAATTTTTATTTTGAAGACTGCATGGTCTAGGAAGTGTACATTTTTTTATGGGGCAAGTTTCCAAGGGCGGGTTTTTTTTTTATCACAAGTGCGAGACATCGCAAGTGTGAGCCAGCGAGCCATGACGTCACGACAGTAGATACGAGACGTACTCGATTGTGCGGGGTATCGGCTGAGACTTGTGGAGTACAATTCAAAAAACAACTATAGGTCTAATAATGAATTATTGTAATGTTAAATAGACAATGTTAGCTATCAAGGAGCGACGTTTTTCATTGGGACCTTCGTCCCTTCAAGGCTAGGCCTATACCATCCTAGCTAGTCTAGGCCTAGAGTAGGATAAGGCTAGCGCGACATGCGGGCGTTGGTACGTGTTGGTTAGTCTACAAACGTCGCCTAAAGTAATTGATTTTACCCGGCAGAATGAAAGAAGGAAACTCCGCTTTTCAGTCGTCTTAGGCCCGTGTTTTTTGACAAACAATGACCTTTCAGGGGTCAAATTTCTGTCAAGAATATGAATTGGCTGCTTCGCAGCAAATATATCTGTAATTTAAGATGTATACACTCACTCATATGGACACAGGGTAACATTGAAAATCACAAAAAAATTGCGTCGTTAAACAAAGTGGCTATTTTGAGTGCAGACAACATAAAAAAAGAAGGGATAACAGTAATAATCTGATGCCATATTTGTGTAATATGGTGGAATATAAGTTAGAATACCAAGTTTGACCTTGATAGCTATTACCAATCCCGAG